GCCGCTGGGATGGAGTCGACAGCCCAGTCTGCTCCCTGCGGTCCTCTGGACAGTCCCGGTCCCCAAGGGGACGGGCGCGGGGTCGGTATTTCTGAGCCCTGCCAGGGCACCTCCCTGGAGCTGGCCTCGTCCCAGTCCTCCAGGGGCCTAGTGGGACCTGGAGAGGACCGAGGTCCCGATAATAATAATGAAAACATCACCCCGGCTAGCACTTACTGAACGCTTCCGTGTCAGGTATTTACCATGCATATCACTGAGTCTAAACACCTCATGGGAGGTGCTGTTACTTCTTTTAGAGGTGAAGCAACGTACCCAGAGAGGTAGAGTGACTTGCCCAAGGTGGCACAGCTAGTGAGTGACAGATCTGGAACTCAAACCCGTGCTTCAGAGTCCAGAACTGCAGTCTCAACCCCTAGACTAGATGACTTGGTGGCCCAGTGGCTCCATGGTTCAGGTTTTCCTGACCAGCTCCTTTGCCGGCTGCTGTTCCCACCCCCCACCCATGCACACATCTGGGCTACACCTGCTGGTCTTTGCTTTCCCCTTAAGAGGTCTCCAGACACCAGTCCTACCTTGTCTCCCCTGTGCTAGAAAGACAAGACATGAACACTTAGGTCCTCAGAAGAGAGTGACACCTGCAGGGGAGACAGGGCCTGGGGTTGCTTTGCCCGCTGGGCCCCTCTGGGAAGCTTGGGCTGAGGCCTGGGCAGTAGGCGTTCTCCCCGGAAACGCCCAGGAGCCGGTTTTTCAAGACTGAATCAGAGGCCTCCCGCCCTCCTCTCCAAAGCAATATCCTATTAGAAAGGGGAGGCTTGGTGTTGGTGACCCCCTGCCCCCAGCTTATGTCAGCTCCCAGGAACCCCCTTCCCCACTTCCTGCTGCCCCCACCATGATTCTGTGTGGTTGTGGAGTTGCTAAGTTTCAGGCCCTTCCCAGGGAAGAGATGGTGGGATGCTGGGATTCAAGCCAATGTGCTTGGTGCTCAGGCTGGCACTCTTTTTCTCTATCCCTATGTTCAGGTTTGAGGGGAGACTCGGAACGTGGGGAGGGGGTGGCAGCAACTCCATGGCATGTTCTGAGGATAAGAGGGCTCAGAGAGTAGTCAGAATGAGGACATCAGGCACATCCGTCCATTCTACAAACATTTATTGAGCACCTGCTATGTGCCAGGCGTGGTTCTTGGCACAGAGAACGCAATAGGGAACAAGACAAAAATCCCTCCTCTGTAGGAGCTGCCATTCTAGTTGGGGGTGGGGGAGGGACAGGCAACAAGCAAGTTAACAAGTAAATAAAGAAGGTACCTGCAGATGGTAGAAGTGCTAGGTGCTATGAATAAAATATGAGGGGGTGGCATGGTAGAATCTGGGGGGGAGCTCTTGGTGGAGGTGACTTTGGAGACAGGATCTCAGGACAAAAAGAAGGTAGCCTCGCGAAGATCAGGCAACGGGCTCAGCCCCATTAAGGGCTCTGACACTAGATGGAGCTTGGAATAGTGTGACTGAGCCACCAGCTGCAGCTAAAGTGTCAATTCTGCAGGGGTCTGTGGCTCATATGAAGGAGTTTGGAGCTTTTCCTCTGTAAGGTGGGAAACTGTTGTAAGTTTTGAAGCTGGGGAGTGACACGATCTGGTTTACATTTTAAAATAGAGACACGAAGTGAAATAGCAGCCTAAGACTGAAAGACAAGAGTTCTGCCAGGGCAACATGTAATTAAGTGCATGGGCCTGAGCCGTCTGGACCACAGGGGCGGTTCCAGCAGGCTGAGGCAAGCCAGGGAGGCTGCCTGGAGGAGGTGGCCTAGGCTAGACCTCCGCAGGCAGAGTGGAGTGGACTGGGAGGTTTCTGGGATGGGCCAGGCAGGGGAGGAGGCCATAATAATAATGACAATAATAGTAACAGTTTCCTTAAATCAAATGTCAGGCAAAATGCTAATCAGGTTGTTTGCATAATCTCTTTGGATTCCTGTACAGGAATTCTGCTGTTTTTTTTTTTTTTTTTTGAATGAGAAAACTGAGGCCCGATCACATGAAGTGACTTGCCCACGGCTACACAGCTGGTAAGTGGCAAGGGTGGGATTTGAACTCAGGCTGCCCTGCCTCTTCTAGCCTGGAAGGCAAATTCATTAATCACTTACTTTCCTCACTGCCATTATTCCCTCCTCGCCGGTGAGGATATGGAAACTCACCTGAACCAGGGCAGCAAGCCTAGGCAGAGTAATGAGATTGGGAATTGATGATCAGGATGCGGGGGCCCTGGGTCAAGGAGGAAGTTTGAATCTTGTCAACTGACTGAAAGGTGGTACAGATGGAAATAGTAGTTAAAAAAAAGATCACCATTTATGGAACCCTTCTCATGTGCCAGGAACTGTTCCAGGCACATGTATGATTTCCTTGGAGATCAGAGAAGATAAGACACTTGCCCAAGGTCATACCGCTAGTAAGTGGAGAGGTCGGGTTCCAGACTCATGTTCACAGCATCCTGCTGAGATGTGTGAGGGGCAGCAGGAAGAGAACCAGAGGAGATGATGATAAGGGGTTTGGGATTTTTTTGTTTTAATCTTTTTTTTTTTTTAAGATTTTATTTATTTGATAGAAGATACAGCGAGAGAGGGAACACAAGCAAGGGGAGTGGGAAAGGGAGAAGCAGGCTTCCCGCTGAGCAGGGAGCCAGATGTGGGGCTTGATCCCAGGACCCTGAGATCATGATCTGAGCTGAATGAAGGAAGATGCTTAACAACTGAGCCACCCAGGCACCCCTCGTTTTAATCTTTTTAAGCATCACTGAGTGTGATGAAATAATCTGAGGGGACGGCATTGGTTTATTCATTCAGAATTTGCTTTTTGTCAAATATTCAGCAAATTCCTACCATGACGGGTGCTATGGATAGACAGATGAAGTAACCAATAAAATACTAGTATCCCAAATATATAAAGAGTTTCCACAAATCAGTAAGAAAAGAAAGATAGGCATTACAATAAAAAAACAAACAAACTGCAATTTTTAAAGACTTAAATAGGCAATTCACAAAAGGACACATCCAAGCAGTTAATAAATGTCTTAAAAGTTGTTAAATGTGGAGCCTGGGTGGCTCAGTCGGTTAAGCATCCGACTCTTTTTTTTTTTTTTTTAAGATTTTATTTATTTATTTGACAGGCAGAGATCACAAGTAGGCAGAGAGGCAGGCAGAGAGAGGAAGGGAAGCAGGCTCCCTGCTGTGCAGAGAGCCCAATGCGGGGCTCGATCCCAGGACCCTGGGATCATGACCCGAGCCGAAGGCAGTGGCTTAACCCACTGAGCCACCCAGGCGCCCCTAAGCATCCGACTCTTGATGTCGGCTCAGGTCATGATCTCTGTTGCAAGATCAAGCCCCTCAGTGGGCTCTGCACTAGTCGTGGAACCTGCTTAAGATTCAAGTCCCTCCCTCTCCCTCTGCCCTTCCCTGCCACCACCCATTACAAAAAAAAATATTGTTATGCATCCTTGATTATGAAGGGAGTGAAAACAAAACCACAGTGAAAAGTGAGGGAGATATTCTGTGTCTGTGTGGCTGGATGGAGCACCTGCCTTGTCCCTAGCACCGTGCTGGGAGGCAAAGGATGAGGACCACAGAGGTGGGGCTTGCGCTTTTGCGGGCAAGACAAGACTCCCTCGGGGCAGGGCCTCCAGCCTGTGCTCCTCTGCCTCCCCAGAGCCAGGCACAGGGACTGGTGGGCTAAGGAATATTAGGATCACTCATCCATCCATTCATTCAGCAAATATTTATTGAGCACCTGCTACTCACTGGGCACTGTTCTCTGCACTGAGAGTATAGGAATGAAAAAGGCAGACAAAATTCCTTGCCCTTTGAGAAAACAGTGAACAAGAACAGTGGATGAAATGAGTTGTGGGAGATGCCAGAGGGCAGAGTCAGGTGTAGAAGCCCTGAGTCTGGGCTGCACCAGGGATGCCAAAGGAACAGGGGAAAGGCCTGTGTGCCTGGGAGGTATGAGCAAGGCGGAGAGTGGGAGGAGAGGAGGGGAGGGCAGTGATGGAGGGCAGATTTTGGGAGGTCTGTGGGTCAAGGGAAGGATGTTGGCTTTTACTTTGAAGGAAGTGGGAGCCCCGGGTTGCGGGGGGGGGGGGAGTGGTCAGAGCAGAGGACAGGTGTGATGTGACATATGTTTTACAGGATCATTCTGGCTGCTGTGTTGACATAGACCGTGGAGAGTGAGGGCAGAAGCCGGCAGACTTGGAGGAGGCGACTGCACTAGTGTAGGTGAGAGATGCTGGGGCTGGAGCAGGGGCCACTGGAGGAGGTGTTGAAGAACAGATGAATGAATGCAGGTGCAAACAAATAGAGGCACGAGAGTGGGTGCAGCCAACTGGGCTTGGCTGAATCCAGGATGGCCCCCTGGAGGAAGAGGTTTTAAGGGAGGGAGCCAGAAGTACTCTTTACACAGAAAAATGTGGCATAAGGAGATCCTTACCACAGCCTGGCCAGGTGGGTGGAATGTCCCCCCTTGCAGAGCAGACATCCCAAGCCCAGGGTGGATGGAGTTGCTTAGGGAGCCATGCTGCGTGGGCGTCAGACAGACCAGAGTGTGCAGCCGGCTTCTGTGACTATGGACGTGTGACTCAAAAATGAAATCTGAGCTCTTTCCCAGTCTGGAAGGCCTGCAGAGTCGACCCCTCGCACCCCCTGTCGCTTCTTGTAGAACCCCTCTTCTGCCTCCCATTGCTCGTTGCACTCTGGTTACACTGGGCTCCTGCTGTTCTGTGAGCCCGAGAGTCTGCTCAGAGCCCTCCCGTGGCCACCACCTCACTCAGAGCAAAGGCCTAAGTACTCCCTGGGCTCAGGAGGCCCTGCTAGCTCTGCCCCACCCCCTCCCTGCCCTCACCTCTTCCTACTGTCCCCCTTAGCACTCTGCACTCTGTTCCGGCCACACAGGCCTCCCAGCTGTTCTTCAAACACACCAAGTATGTCCCCACTTCAGGGCCTTTGTACTGGCCTGGCCGTTCCCTCTGCCTGGAGCCGACCTGCTCACATCCTCATGTGGATACTGCTTCCTGTCACTCAGGTCTCAGGTTCAGTTTCACCTGCTCAGAGAGGCCCTCCTTGAACTTGGGTGTAGAAGAACTTGCCTTGTTTTATTGTCTTCATAGCACAATTAGGAATTATATTAGACTTTCACACATGTGCTTGCTCACTGTGTGTCTTCTCTGGACTATATGTTCTGGACAGCTGGACAGAGCCCCAGCTAGCATACATGGCATCTAGAAGGGAATTGGAAGGAGGTAGCCCTTCCCCCTGGCAAACACATCAGCTTGACAAGCAGAGCACAGGCTGAATGAATTTAAGTCCCACTTGCAGCCCTGGTCTGGTGCTTTTGCACAGTGAACAACCTGTGTAACTGCACATAGTGGCCCTGGTCAGGGAACTTGGTTATCTTACTGAAGGCAAGATCTGCAGTGCTGCATGGAGTATAGTAAGTATGCAAAAAATATTTGTTTGGAAGGAGGGAGGAAGAAAAAAGGGAGAGTGGAGGTAAAGGAAAGAAAAAGACCGTATCTGTCAGGACAAGTTTTGCAACAGTAACAAAGAACCCCCCAAATCTTAGTGGCTGAACTCCACAAAGGTTTATTTTTTTTTGTTCCTGATACATCATCGTAGCTCAGCAGGAGGTTCCATTCATTATAGTCACTTAGGTCCTGGCCAATGGAGTCACTACCATATCAGATGCACCCTGCCCAGGAAATAGAGAACCCCGGCATCTCTCACTCCAGTGAGCAAATGCTTTCGGCCCAGAAATGTCATGGGTCACTTCCTCTCACAACTCATTGGGCAGAACTATAGTCATATGCCCACCCAGTTACACAGAGGTCAGCAAGTGTCACCTGCCTGTGTGCTTTGAAGGGAGAGTCAGTTTTTTTGTGCACAGCACTAGTGACCATCGGTGCCAATAGAAAAATAAAGGGGAATGTAACCACTCCGAGCCTCCATTTTCTCATCTGCTAAATGGGCATCCTCGTAACATAATATTGTCCCCACATCCCGATGTGGCATGAGGATAAAGGAAGGTCACAGCATAGTTTGTTTGGGGTCTTAGCAGGTATTAGCTGCTCATATTACTTCTCTACAAGGTGTGTAAGTGCTGGGCACCGGTTTTGAACCAAGGACAGTCTATTCTCTAAATATTTCCTAAGGCCAGTAGGGGGCTAACAGTGTGAGAGAGGCAACCTGAGGCCACTGCCCAGGCCCTGAGTGCATTTTCCTGCCCTGCAGATCTCCTGAGTGAGCTCACGCTTCTCACTGCTCATGCCGCTGGGACTGGGGCGGCGGAAAAAGGCGCCGCCTCTGGTGGAAAATGAGGAGGCTGAGCCAGGCCGTGGAGGGCTGGGCGTGGGGGAGCCAGGGCCCCTGGGTGGGGGTGGGGCAGGGGGGCCCCAAATGGGCCTGCCCCCCCCTCCCCCGGCCCTGCGGCCCCGCCTCGTGTTCCACACCCAGCTGGCCCACGGCAGTCCCACGGGTCGCATTGAGGGCTTCACCAACGTCAAGGAGCTGTACGGAAAGATCGCCGAGGCCTTCCGGCTGCCAGCTGCCGAGGTACCCACTGGGGAGCTGGGCACCAGGGTCCCTGATGGTGGGCTGAGGCCTGGGCATGCCTCCTCCTCGTGAGCTGTGGCTCAGATGCTGAAGTTCCATACACCGAGGCCTGCTCCCTAGTGGATCGTGAGAGCTGGTGGCCACACTGGATGCCAAGTTCCCATCAGTCATTAGGATGCCTGCACTCCAGTGAACTATGGAAAGCTGGAGATTAGGGCTGAGTGCTGAGTTCCCATTAGGCACTGGGAGGCCTATGCCCCGTGGACAGCAGAAATGGGTGGCCAGGGCTGGATGCGACATTCCTATCATGCATTAGGAGGCTTGCGCCCCAGTTGATTATGGGATCTGAACGTCAGATGCGAGGTTGATTTCTCTGTGATGCATTGGGACTTGGGAGCTGGAAGGAAGGGAGGCAAGAAAAGCAACAGTAGGACTGAGCAGGAAGTAGATGCAGGGGTCCTAGTAGGTGTGGTGGGTATCCTGTGCCCCTTTATTTGTTCCACAAGCCCTTACTGAGCACCCACTGCATGCCAGGCTCTGTGCCCTGGGAGCTGCAGGGAGTTTTTGCTAGAACAGAAATCCCAGCCCTAGCAGAGCTGCCTCCTGGAGGGGGCCACTCTGGGGTGGTCAGGCACTGGGGTGGGGACCCACAGCCCTTTCCCAGTTCCCTCCTTGCCCCTCAGGTGGTGGTTAGCAAAGGGTGAGGGAGGGAGGTAAGGGTTGAGTGTCTCCCGCCCATGCAGGTGATGTTCTGTACCCTCAACACCCACAAAGTGGACATGGACAAGCTCTTGGGGGGCCAGATCGGGCTGGAGGACTTCATCTTTGCCCACGTCAAGGGGCAGCGCAAGGAGGTAGAGGTGTTCAAGTCAGAGGAGGCGCTGGGGCTCACCATCACTGACAACGGGGCCGGCTATGCCTTCATCAAGGTGCTTGGGGGGATGGGGCCCCCGGAGTCCTGAGGGTGAGGATGGGCTGTGGGAGCGAAGGCCAGAGCCCTGGGGGCTGACAGCTGCTCTCCCTGCAGCGCATTAAGGAGGGAAGCGTGATCGACCATATCCAGCTCATCAGTGTGGGTGACATGATTGAGGCCATCAACGGACAGAGTCTGCTGGGCTGTCGACACTACGAGGTGGCCCGTCTGCTCAAGGAGCTGCCCCGAGGCCGCACCTTCACACTGAAGCTCACAGAGCCTCGCAAGGCCTTTGGTGAGGGGGCTTCCACCTTGACCTCCGTGGAGGCCCTATTTGCTTGGGTTCAGGCCACAGTGGCAGGGAGGCACCAGCAGGTGGCGCCCAAGGCCAGCCAGCTGCAGTGGAGTGGGGAGATAGCTCCGCCTTGCCCTGGGGAGGGGTTGCTGGCTCTCCGCCCAGCCTGGGAGGAGGGTGAGAACAAGAAGGAAGGTGCCCCCACACCCAGCTTCCCCAACCATTAGCCCAGCCAAGCGCCCCCAACCCTGGCAAGCTACCCCCCCAGCCCTGAAAAGCCAGGGTTGGCTGCCCTGTTCCTGCACCCCCACTTTTCTGTCTGACTTCACTAACTCTCTGGAATGGGCCTAAGGCCCCTGAGGTGGGGGTGGGGGACTCTCAAACACTTCCCCAGGCAGATAGGGCTGGTCTTTGACCCAGCAGCTATATCCCCTTGGCCTTGGGGAGAACAGCTCAAGACCCAGACCCCACCCCCTTCCTGTCTCTCAGGCCCTGGGAACAGGGCCCCCTTCTGTCTCTCCTCCAGCCTTTTCCATTCTCAGCCCCTGCCTGTCCTTACCCGTTCCCTCACTCCCCCCTCCATGCCAAGCCTGGGTCAGGAGTCCTGCCCTCCTGGGGTCACCTCAGACCACAAATCCCCAGAGCCTGCAGAAGCTTGGAGAAGGTAGAAGGGGGTATCAGAGTCCAGGCTGCTGGGGATCCTGCCCAAGGTATGCTGGAATTGGGCTTCCCAGACCCTTAACCCTTCCCTGCCTTCCACAGACATGATCGGTGTACGCTCAGGGGGTGGCCGCCCAGGCTCTGGCCCCCAGCTGGGCACTGGCCGAGGGACCCTCCGGCTCAGATCCCGAGGCCCTGCCACAGTAGAAGATGTGGTGAGTATTCTAGCCAGGGCCCAGCCCTCCTTCCCTGGGCATCCATAGGTGGCTCTGGGCAATAGATTCAAATCCACCTCTGCCACACACCAGCTCTGGGACATTTGTTGGGCAGGTGGGCCTCAGTTTCCTTGTTTGTAAAGTAGGGGGGATAGTAATACCGTCACAGGTTGTGGTGAGGATGAGCTGTGGGTCAGTATGTGTAAAGTGGTGAAAAGAGCGTCCCGCACTTAATAGGTACAATTATAAATACATTCACATTATTGTGATGTCATTGTCCCTCCCCCCGCCAGCCCTCAGCCTTTGAGGAGAAGGCGATTGAGAAGGTAGATGACCTGCTGGAGAGCTACATGGGCATCAGGGACACGGAGTTGGGTGAGTGGGGACGTCTGGATCTGGGGATGGGTGTGAGCCTGGGGGAGGGGGCTTCTAGGTCATGTGGGGCTGGGTCTAACCTGAGGACCTCTGTCATCTGTGCTTCCATTCTGCCCCCCACACCCTTGTCCAGCGGCCACCATGGTGGAGCTTGGAAAGGACAAAAGGAACCCAGATGAGCTAGCCGAGGCCCTGGACGAACGGCTCGGTGACTTTGCCTTCCCTGATGAGTTCGTCTTTGACGTCTGGGGTGCCATTGGGGATGCCAAGGTCGGCCGCTTCTAGGCCCCCTTCCAGACCTCTCAGTGACCTGGCTCCGCTTGGTGGGAGCCCCCCGTGGGAGGGCCACCATGGCCTGGACCCCAGCATCTGGCTTGGACCTTTGCTCCGCACCCCAAGGATGACACAGAGTGGAGGTGGGCCCGGGCCTCTGCCCCACTCCAATCGGTACCACCCCGCCCCAGTTCCCACCCTGGCTGGGGTGCCCAGTCCCCCCTTGCCATGTTCCCCACCTACCTCAGCTGGGTCAGGCACAGGGGGTGGGGGGAGGGACCAGCCAGATTGGGCGGCCACCCCCGCCCCCAACACTTTCCGCATCAGCTGCCAAACTGGTCTCTCATCTCCCTGGGGCCTGTTTGGGGGTCGTGACCTCCCTCATTTCCTGCTGCAGGGAATGCAGAAGGGGGGCATCCCCCCCTCAGCAAATGCAATAATGCCCTCCCCCCCCGTGCCCCACCCAGAGAGGAGCCCCCTCACCGTGGAGTCTGTTACCTCCGCATTGGAAACACTAGTCTGCTGTGAACCCCGAACCTCCCTCCCTCCCCTGCCCTCTGTGTCTCCCTCAGCCCAGCCTCAGACAGAAGGGGCAGGAGGGAGGATGGCAGTGGGCTTTTGTATCTGAATTTGCTGTCTTGAACATAAAGAATCTATCTGCTGTTGGACCTGTGTGGCGGCTTCAGCTTTGGCTTCGTGGTGGGAGAAGCGGGTGAGCCAAGGCTGGGAAAGAATGTAGCAGCTGAAATCCATCCTCCTCGGGCTCCAAATTGAATTAGGAGCCTGCATGGGCCACCCCCTCAACCCGTTCCGCCTGATGAGGTTTCTGGCTGCGGGCCACCAGGCTTCCAGTCAAAGGCCGGAGCTTCCTGGCCTACTGAGGTTCAAATCTTGCTCCCTCTCGAACAAAGCCTCCCGCCACCTCAGGCCTGATGTGAACAGTGGGTGCAAGGCTGTTATCACCCAGGGCCATAGGGAACACCTGGGCCAGGCTGGGGGGCGGTGCAGAAGCTTGGCTTGGGAAAAGAAAGATGGGGGCCTGGGATGGAAGCCTGCTAAGACAAATGCTGTGGGGAGTAGCCCTGCACCCAAGACCGAGGGGAGCAGTCATGATGTAGCCCCTGTTTCTGCTGACGCTGGATGTGTGGGATCTGCTGGCGTCCATGGCGCGCCATGGTCTGCACTGGACATAAACCCAGCGTGCTTGTTTTGACAACTTACTTCATCCTTGAGGATTGAGTGGGGATCAGGGAAGGGGGGTGGGCCCCTGGCCAGACCTGGAGGGAAGGGCAGGAATTGAAGCAAGGGGAGCCAGGCCAGAGGTCCTTGCAGGAATGTCTGAGGTCAGCCCGCTCCCCTTTTTCATCCCTCCTTTCAACAGGAGGGCCTGCCTGGGAAAGGGGAGCTGGGAGGGATGGCTAGGTTTGGGGTGTGTGTGCAGCCTTCCTGGGGTGGGATGGAGACAGCTGTTGGTAGGGTCCCTCTCAATGTCTCTGTGCTGGTAAACAGCTCAGGTCATGAAAGGGTGTAGCTGTGTGTCTCAGTGGTTAGGCAGTAAGACTGTGTCTGACAGAGTTTTGGTGGCTTTTGACTCCGTCGAGGGAACAGGATGTAATGACTGTCTTCATGTTCCAAGGTGTTTGTGGGTGTAACCTGCAGCAACCTGTGTGGAGTGTGGCCCTGTAAGGGCAGCTCAGGAGGGTCCTAGGCTGTGAGGGTGTGTGTCTCTGGGTGTTAGGAAACACCTAACACCTTCGTGGGGTAGGTGTTGACCAGCAAGATCTCCAGATGTCCAGGAGGTGGCACTCCTATATGTGTATGGCGTATGGAGTGTATTCATGGTGCTGGTCTTGGACTCTTAGGGGTGTCTGTGGGTGATACGGAGTGTGGCTAGTGGGCTGTCTCAGAGTAGGGATTGTGTGGGTCTCGGTGCTGAGACTGGATCTCCCAGCACTTTCTCACGGGAATGCACTTCAGCATTGTTGAGAGAAATTAAAGCGAGTAACAATGGGGGCACCTCTGGGGGTCATGGAGGTGACACAGTCACAGTGCATTAAGGTGTATGACAATGGCCAACCCCAAAGCTCTGAGGAACATGGCTACTGCTGAGCCAGAGACAGACTGATGGTATCTGGTCTTAGGGTGTTAAGAGGTATAATGGTGTGTAAGTGTAAGGTGTGTGTGTATGTGTGCCCTTCCTTCTCAGGGCAGGATGTGAGGCTGCAGTTGTGTGTCTCAGAAGAGAGTCCCCGGGTCACCAGACCTCTTGGTTCCCCTGTCCCTCTTCAGCCTCCTCTCCTGCCTCCCTTCCCCAGGGTATGACTTGCTGCTGGCCCTGGCTGGAGCTCTAAGCCCCTGTGTAAATTGTGGGCGAGTCTCCTGGCCAGGCTGGGCCTGACCCAAGTTGGTCCACGTGAGGCACTGCCCACCACCACCGACCCAGCATCCACGAAGGCTTTGGCAGGGCAAGAGGGTGTTGCGGACTCCAAACAGGGTTAGCCCCCAACCTCACAGTTCCTGTGGGGGCAGAGGCACCCCCTGCAGCCGCCCAGTGCACCGCCCTGGGCGATGCTCACATTTTCCAGTGTTTAGATTTTATCCGCTTTATTAATGAGGCAGGCGAAAGGCCCACGCCTGGGGGGAGGGGAGGAAGAGGGCTACTCCCGCCCTGCCAGGGGGTGGGGGTCATGGGGAACCAGGCCAACTCCCCAGGAGCCCCCTTCCTGATGGGGCAGGTGGGGTCCAGAGTGTCCCCTGCCCACTGCCAGGAGCACAGAGGGGTCTTTGCCACTGCGGGGGGCGGGGGGGGGTCGCCCTGTGAGATGGCTGGAGCGGCCCCTGGAGGCCAGAGCGGGCAGCGGGAGGAGGCAGGGAGCCGAGGAGCCGCCCCAGGAGGGAGGGAGAGGGAGCGGCTGGCCTTCCAGAGAGCTCTAGTGCAGCGGGCGCTGGTGCAGCAGGCAGCAGGGCCAAGCAGCAGGCGATGGGGACCTGGAGTCCCAAGCTGTGTGGGTAAGAAGCCTGGGACATGGGGATCTCTGGTGGGAGAGGAGGGTTTGGAAGATGGGACCATGCCTACTTCAGTCACTCTGTCCTGTGTTCTTGACTCCCAGCCCCATCTGTCTGTCCCTGTCAGTCTTACTGTCTGTCTAACTGCCTTTCCCATGTGGCCAGCGGGCAGTTCTGCCCTTTTAGTCCTCACCTCCAGGTTATCAGGGATGGGTGGTGCTGGGTCCGTGTTGAGGGCTTTGCGGCAGGGACCTGGAGCTGGTGGGAATGGGAACCAGAGGGCATCCATGGTGAGGCAGCTGTGGTCAGGGGCAGAGCCAGAGCGAGACAGTAACAGAACCCTTGGGAGTGTAGGGACAGGGACGGTGGGGACAGAGATGTGGCTGTGGGGAAAAGGACAATGAGGTGGGGAGAGATGTGCCCATGGTGGCGGAGGGGGTGCTGTGAACATCAAACATGGGACTGGAGAAGAGGTGACATGTGATGGTCGGGGATGGGGCAGTGAGGTCAGGTGGGGCCCTGCGATCAGAAATGGGTCAGCAGGTGTTAGATGGAGCCAGGGGCAAGGAATTCGCTGTGGTGCAAAAATGTGGTGGGTGTCAGAGCTAGATCTGTGACGCCCAGCAGTGGGGACAGACTCGAAGGCCAGAGACCCAGGAACCAAGGTGGACAGAGAAGGTGGTGAGGGCAAGAATGAGGCCCCAAGCAAGAGATGGGCTGATGAGGCAGAGGAGGTCAAAGGGGTGGGGAATAGGGCAGCCAGGGTCATCTTGCAGTGGCCGTGGGCAGAGTCGATAGAAGAATGCCGTGGCATCAAATGGGTCCGGTTGATCCGAGGTGGGACTGCCTGCCAGTCCCATTCGGATGGTGGGCAGTGTGCTCCTAGCTGGCCTCACCATGCCCTCTTCTCCTCTCCCCTGCCTCCACCCCAGCACCTGACATGAGTCTCTGCGGGCCCCTCAACCTGAGCCTGGCTGTCGAGGCGACCACATGTGCGGAGCCCGGGGTTCTCAACGCGTCGGCTGGGCCTCCCTCCGGCCGGGCAGGCGCGTCACCAGCGCTGCCCATCTTCTCCATGACCCTGGGTGCCGTGTCCAACGTGCTGGCGCTGGCGCTGCTAGCGCAGGCCGCGGGCCGCCTGCGGCGCCGCCGATCAGCCGCCACCTTCCTGCTGTTCGTCGCCAGCCTTCTGGCCACTGACCTGGCAGGCCACGTCATCCCTGGGGCGCTGGTGCTGCGCCTGTACGCGGCAGGCCGCTCGCCGGCGGGCGGCGCCTGCCACTTCCTGGGAGGCTGCATGGTCTTCTTCGGCCTGTGCCCCCTGCTACTGGGCTGCGGCATGGCCGTGGAACGCTGCGTGGGCGTCACGCAGCCGCTGCTGCACGCTGCGAGCGTCTCCACCGCCCGCGCGCGCCTGGTGCTGGCAGCGCTGGCCGCCGTGGCTTTGGCGGTGGCGCTGCTGCCCCTGGCGCGCGTGGGTCGCTACGAGCTGCAGTACCCCGGCACGTGGTGCTTCATCGGCCTGCGCCCGGCGGGCGGGTGGCGCCAGGCGCTGCTCGCCAGCCTATTCGCCGGCCTCGGTCTGGTGGCGCTGCTCGCCGCGCTCGTGTGCAACACGCTCAGCGGCCTGGCCTTGCTGCGCGCCCGCTGGCGCCGCCGCTCTCGACGCCGTCCTCCTGCATGCGGCCCTGATGGCCGCCGTCTCCGGGGGGCGCACGCGCCCCGCTCAGCCTCAGCTTCGTCCTCCTCGTCCGTCGCTTCTGTCCCCGGAGGCTCCCCGGGCCGTGGCTCAGCGCGCCGTGCCCGCGCTCACGATGTGGAGATGGTGGGCCAGCTCGTGGGCATCATGGTGGTGTCGTGCATCTGCTGGAGCCCGCTGCTGGTGAGGGGCACACACGCCCCTCTGGCCAGGCTCCTCCCTGCCCCCTCCCACCCCTTTTCCTCCTAGGATACCTGGGTTCTCCCGTGCGCAGCCGGGGCCCCACCCCCTCGAGGCCCCACCTGTCAGGAAAGACCGCCCTTTGGCCTCTCGGTCTGACATCCCACCCCCTCCACCCAGTCCCCTTTTCTTACTCCCGCCCGGAGTCTTTGTAGTTAACCCCAGCCAGGCAAGCTTCCTGCCAGCCCCACCCCTCAGACCCGGACGCTTCATTCCCTAGCCCCTTCCACCACCACCCCATCCCGTCTCTCTCCTCCCCTCGGTCCCCAGCCCTTCGGGATCCCTGGGACTTCTCTCCTTTTTTCTCGAGCCCCCATTCACTGAAGGCCAATGCTTCTGCCACGCTTTCTTCGCCCCTCTTTCCATAGTTCCTTCTTACGAAGACTTCCATTTCCCCTCCCTGTAAGCCCCTGCTTCCCCTCACAGCTCCCTTACCTTCCGGCCACGCTCCCATCCATCCCAGCCCCACCCTCAGCCAGCCCCCTTCTCTTCCACCTGCCCCACCGCTCACACCGGCTTCTCCCACAGGTGTTAGTGGTGCTGGCCGTCGGGGGCTGGGGCTCCAGCTCCCTGCAGCGGCCACTGTTTTTGGCCGTGCGCCTTGCTTCATGGAACCAGATCCTGGACCCCTGGGTGTACATCCTGCTGCGCCAGGCGGTGCTACGCCAACTGCTTCGCCTCCTGCCCCCGAGGGCCGGCACCAAGGGCAGCCCTGCGGATCTGGGCCTAACCAGGAGCGCCTGGGAGGCCAGCTCGCTGCGCAGCTCCAGGCACAGTAGCCTCAGCCACCTGTAGGCGAGCCAGGAGTCCCAGCGGCTAAGTCAGACCACCCCGGGCCGGGCCCAGGACCGCAGCGCGGAGCCTTCGGGGGAATAAAGTCATTCTGAGGACCTGCGCGCGGGGCATGTGTCGGGTTGGGGCTGTGGCAACCCTGTGACCAGGCGGGGACGATAGAGGCGCCGCCTGAGCCTCCGGGGTGTGCAGTTCCGGGACTCTCCATGCAGAGGCGCAGAGACGCCACACGAGAAGCTGGAGCCGCTGGAGCATGCGCAGAATGCGCCACGGCTCCAGCCCGAGCCCTGGCTGTGTCGAGGAGCAGCTGAGTCGGAATCCTCGGCGCTTTGCGCTCCTGCCGCCGCCAGGGCGGACCCCAGCAACAATTCTCTCATTGTGGCCCTGCTCCTCTAACACATCCCCAAGGCCACCAAACCACACCCATTAAAGGCCTCAAACTCCAGTGCCCCTAAACACAACTCCCAACCCTGTCCCATCTCGCCTGCCCATGCCCAGAGTTCCCACTTCCCCACAACCCTCATCAAGTGACCCCCGCCCCCGGAACCATAATCCAGGGCATCTCCCCGTCACCCCTTATGCCCCTGGCCACCCACCGGATCTGCACCCATTTCCAAGTACATTGGAATCTCCCCATTTCCAAGTACACGACCACCTGCCCCGCCCCCCATGCCACCACTAGGTGGCATGCACACACGAGGAGTCAGAAGATGCATGGATGGGGCAAACCCCAAAGGCCTTTTTAAAAACTACTGAGAGCTTGGTCAGGGAAGGGGCAGGGGAGAGGGCTAGCAGCCCCCGGCCACAAAGTCGAAGTCCTGGAAGGCTGCCTGCTCTGTGGCCGTGAGGGGCCGCGCGTCGCGGGGCGGGCTCAGTGTGGGGGCCTCCCCCGTGAACTCCTCATCGAAGTTGCTGACATCAGTGCGGCCTGACAGCGTGGGCACGAAGGGAGGTGGCAAGCGCCGGGCTAGCAGAGTGTCCCAGCCCAGTGTCTAAGTGGGGGAGAAGGGGGAGAGAGAGGAAGAGGTCAGCCAGGGGTGGGGGGAGGGCAAGAGCGGGGTGCTGTAGACTGCAGGAGGGGCCAGCCCTTTGTGCCCCATCCAGCCCTGCATCTGTGGGGATTAGCATAAGGAGTCACAAGAGAGAGGCGTCAAGAGGGGCCTGCAGGCCCAGTAAGGATCACAGTGTGAGCTTGGGGAGCCCTGGGGTGAGAGAGAGGTGTTCATACACAGGGCAGTGGCCCCACCAGGCCAGCCGGGAGTAGATGTGGGTGTAGGAGGGTCAGTGGGTGTGAAGGAGGGTGTAGGAAATGGAGATGACAATGTTGGAGGGAAGGTGTCTAGATCCGGGTAGGGGAGAAATGAACAGGCCCTGAGGGACTGGGGTCGGGGGAATGACCAGGTCTCTGCTAGGCAGTTGGCCAGGCACTTGGGGTGACCTCACCCTGTAGAAGGGCTGCTTTTTCACATCCTCTGCGTCCCTCTCGCTGGATCCCAACCTCCGCTCTGGGTTCCTCCTCAGCAGCTGGTGGGGAGGGGAGGCATCAGTCTTCCCCTTCCTGGCTCCCGACCCCCTCCCCAGGCCCAAGTTGGGGGACTCCTCACCCTGCGCATGATGCCAATGGCTTCAGCTGACAGGAAGCGTGGGTAGCGAACCTCATCATTGACTATGCTGTCAAATACCTCCTCTTCATCGTCCCCTGGGAATGGGGACTGGGGACAGGGAAAGCCAGGATGAATTCGGCCCCACCTCTGACCACTCCCCTCCCAGTCCCATCTGAGCCCTCTGCTCCTCGCACCACTCCACCGGGGTGCTGGCTGACGTGGGAAGGGAAGCACCCCATTTTACAGATTCGAAAATTGAGGCTAGGGAGGCAAAGCCAGCTGTCCCTATCACACAGCACATGGAGGCACTTTTTGATCCCACCCCTAGGTACAAGTAGTTTCCGGCGTGATCCCAGGGTCAGGCAGGGCAGGGTAGGCTGGGGCCTCACCTCACCAACCAGCATCTCATAAAGCAGCACGCCCAGCCCCCACCAGTCCACTGCCCGCGTGTAAGATGTGTCTGTCAGCACCTCGGGGGCCAGGAACTCCGGGGTCCCACAGAATGTGCTGGTCCGGTCCCCATAGCCCATCCCTGGGGACAGTAGGGCCATGTGAAGTTATGGGGAGGAGGGGGCTCCCGGTGGTAGCCCAGCCCAGCATGTGGTGGCCCAGACAGCCACCCCATCCCAGGGTCAGGGTAGGGGGTAACCCAGGTAGGGCTTGGGACTCCATTCCCTCCCCCACTCTGTCTAATCCCCAGAGGCCAGCCCTTCAAATCCCAGCCCCGCCCCTCACCCTCCTTGCAGAGGCCAAAGTCTGCGATCTTGACATAGCCCTCGGTGTCCAGGAGCAAATTGTCCAACTTCAGGTCCCTGTGATGGGTTGGGGGGATGTAAAGAGGGATGAGGGGGGCGGAGTCTGGGCCCTGCCTGAAGCCTGAGGGCCCCTAGTGGGCAGCATGTGCATATAGGAGCACGGGCACGCAAGGGCACACACCTGTAGACGATCTTGTGTTCGTGGAGAAACTGCAACCCCAGCACCACACAGGCTGAATAAAAGCTGCAGAGAGAAGCTAGTGTGATAGAGCCAGGCCTCCCAGCAAGGCAGGCCGGCCACAGAAGCCAGGCTCCCACATCCTCGACAGCTCCCCGGTCCCCCCAAAACTCCAGGAGGCTGGGGGGGAAGCTGGGGCCAAAGGGTGGAGGGGTAGGAAGGGGGCTGCCGCGGCCTGTTGGGTGCTGAGGCACGGGTGGGGGAGCTCACACAGCACGAGGCTCCGAGAACACGTCACTGTGGATGTGTAGCATGAGGTCCCCGCCGGCCGAGTACTCCATCACGAAGCACACATGCTCGGGTGTCTGGAAACAGCCGAACAGGTTCACCAGGAAGGGGTGTCCTGCTCTGGTCACTGCTGCCAAGATCCGCTTCTCACACATCAGGCTGGGTGGGATAGGGGGCGGGGCTCAGAGACCACAGCAGCCCCTTCCACCCCCAACTCCCATACTCACAAGAAGTCCCTGATTGTCTGCTGTTTGCTGAGGACCTCGTGTGACTGTGCAACCTTGGGCAAGTTGCCTAAGATTTCTGAACCTCAGCAGCTTTGTCTGCTAAACAGGTACCCAGAAGCCACCTGTCATCCTAGTAATAGTCCCCCAGTATCCCTTTAGGGAACACAGCCAGGGAGGGCTAACTGGAGCACCCATCTTCCTGACCAGAAATTGGTTTGGGAATGGGCAAGCCAAGGGAGTGGGGCTCAATCTCAGGATTTCTGCGGTTATTATTAAGGATGAAGGGCTAAAACTAGTGGATGAGCCTTACTCTGCTGGGGTAGGGGGCTATTTCTGCCCCCTGGAGAGGACTTCCAGCAAAGCCCACAAAAAGGAAAGCTGACAGAGATGTCATCTGAGCACCTGGATATAGCCATGCCTGAAAGTACTCCACCCCTGGACTTTTCTGACCCAGACCAATAAACTCTTTTGCTTAAGCCTATCTGAGTTGGGTTTCTGATTAACAAAAGGATGTAAGAAGATTAGGGACAACCTCGATGCCTCTACTGGGCGTTTTTACAGGGGGCCAGGTACTGTAGAATGCTCTAGATGTATCCTCTTACTTAATCTGCCTGAAAACCCTACAAGAAAAGCATTATTATGCCCCTTTTATAGATGGGGAGGCCAAGGATCAGAAGGGCAAAGTAACTTCCCCAGAGTCTCTAAACACACTTGTGGCAGGGTGGGATTTGAACCCAGGGCCCTGATCCAAAAGCAGAGCCTGGGCAGTGGTGCCATTAAGGGTACAGACTTCAGGGCCTGAGTCCCTAGGTTTGAATCCCCGACCTGCTGCTCACTGGCTTTGTGATTCTGGGCAACTTGCTCAACCTTTCTGTGTCATCAGCAGAACGGGAACAATAACAATATTTACCTCATAGGGCTGTCATGGAGAGCAAGTGAGTAACTGAACAAAAGGCGCACAGTGGGTGCTTTCCAAGAGTTACTATCTTAGTAAGTGCCAGTGACTGGCATGAATCACTGTCACAGCAGCTCCAGAGAGGGGACTGCTCTGTCTCCCATCTCCCAGAAGAAAAGACTGAGGTTCTCAGAGGGCTTGGACCAGGTCCCCACCTTTCAACCTCATCTCGGGCCACAATGTCGCCTTTCTTCAAAGCCTTGATGGCGAACAGCTCCCCGCTGGGCCGGAATTCAGAGAGCAGCACCTGTAACCACAGTGGGGAGCGATGGCCTTCGTGGCCAGCCCGGGGACTCCCCATTCCCCCAACTCCTTGGCCCCCGCCTCACCTTCCCAAAGTGACCCCGGCCCAGCACTGCCAGGAATTTGAAATCCTCGAGGGTCAGGGGTGACTTCTTCAGAGGGCTGTGGAGAGAGGACACTGGTGGGGACAAGGACAGCAGGTGGTGGCGGGGGGATGGTGAGTAGGGGAGAGGTGTCACCTGCACAGGGCAGAGCCTGGCGTCTCCTGAGTCTCTGAAGGCAACTCGGGGGTGGTGGCAGCTTCCGGAATCGGGGAACTCTGCAGCAGCGAGAGGGAAGTCAGAGGCACCCCATAACGACAAGAACTGCCAAGGCTCCCATCACCTCTGACCTCACTTCTCCTCGCACTCACCCTCTCGCTCACTGCCCTCCAGCCACACTGTCCCTCTCACTGTGCCCTGAACACACCAGGCATGTTTCCAGCCCAGGACCTCTGCACAGGCTACTCCCTCTACCTGGAATTCTCTTCTCCCCCCACATCAGCACGGCTGCTCCCTTACCTCCTGCAGGCATTCATTCAGAGGTCACCTTCACGGGTGGTCAGCCAACCATCACAGCAAATAACCAGCAAAACCCCCCACACCACACACACACATATTCCCTGACCCCTTTCACTTTTCTTTCATGCTGTAAATACTTTTTACTGTTTGCCTACATTTTTCCTTTAAGGTTACTTGCCCTAAGAACTACTTAATTCTTCATGGCACACGTGTGCTTGTAACTTTGAAAAGACCCAAAATTACTATTGCAAATGGGAACACATGACAACCGGTTCGTCATCCTCCACTACAGA